TAAGGCTTGGAGTTGTGCGCAGACTGCCCCCGGGAGGCAGCCCTGGCTGGCCCCGGCAAGCTCCCAAAGCAGTCTTTGGGCCGTTTCAACACCCTCGAGCAGAGCAGTTTTCGGCTGTCTCAACACCCCCACGCCGTCTCCAGCGGCGCCCTTCGGGCGCTCCCGCCCCTCAGGGTTTGGGGTGTTGAGGCCGCCCCCGGCTGCCCTCTGCTGATGCCAGACTAGACTACATCTGGGGTCTGTCCGTGCTCAGCCCCAAGCCTTGCCAACTCCACCGCTTCGCGGTCGTGCCTCGGGACGACCTTTCCAGGAGTGATGGATGTGGATATCTGCCCCGGTCGGCATGAATGACATGGGTCCCGAGGGATGAAAGAGGGGTTCCTGAGTTTTGTTCACGACGCCAGGAGGTTTGCGTTGGCGCAGAGGAGGAGTTGCGCTTCCACCCCTCCAGAAACCAGTTCATTCTGGGCGATGACGGCCGTCACCTGGGGGGGGGGAGGGGGCCGATGACGTCACGTTTCGCGCTGGCAGCGTCTGGGAATACCTAGGAATGACCGCTGACGGGTAATTAGCAGCAGCATGTCGGTGGCGATCTGTATCACAGCGCCTGTGTACACCACAGTGCCTGCGTGCACCACAGCGCCTGTGTACACCACACCGCCTATGTACACTACAGCAAGCGCGTGCAACACATCGCCAGTGTGCACCACAGTGCCTGCGTGCACCACAGTGCTTGTGTACACCACAACGCCTGCGTACACCACAGCAGCCGCGTGCACCACAGCAACTGTGCGCAACAGAGCACCATTGCTGTTTGTATGATTGTGAAGGCCTGACGGCAGGTGCCGCCGACCCTGAAAGACGTCGACGACGACCATGAGGGGGAGGAGGAGGAGGAGGAGGAGGAGGAGGAGGAGGAGGAGGAGGAGGAGGAGGAGGAGGAGGAGGAGGAGGAGGAGGAGGAGGAGGAGGAGGAGGAGGGGAGGAGGTGGAGGAGGAGAAGGAGGAGGAGGAGCTCGGAGGAGGAGGAGGAAGAGGAGGAGGAGGAGGAGGAGGAGCACTCTATATTCTGCAATTTTGTAGAGCCGCGGGATTCCCGGGACAGGCGTCGTATCTAACCCGGGACCCCCGGGACATCCCCGAGACTTCCCCGGGAGTTCCCGGGGCTCCCCCCCCCCTCCAGCGGGGAAGGGCTGAAAGGGAAGGGGTTTCCCTCGACGTCTTTCTGGATTTTTGTGGAGCCGCGGGCTTCCCGGGATTGGCGTCGTATCTGACCCGGGACTTCCGCGGGATTTCCCCGGGATTTCCCTGGGGCTTCCCCAGGACCCCCCCCTCGGCGGGGAAGGAATGAAAGGGAAGGGGTTGCCTCGACGTCTTTCTGGAATTTTGTGGAGCCGCTGGATTCCCGGAAAGGCGTCGTATCTAACCTGGGACTTTCCTGGAACTTCCCCGGGACTTCCACCCCCCCGCGTGGAAGGGATGAAAGGGAAGGGGCTTCCCTCGACGTCTTTCTGGAATTTTGTGGAGCCGCGGGATTCCTGGGAGAGGCGTCGTATCGGGGCGCCCCTGCGATCAGGCCTGGGAAAGAGGGGTGAGCGACGACGACGACGAACAGGAGGCAGACATGATAGCCTCAGAGAGAACGGAGAAAAACCGAAACGCCTCTTCCACACGCCGACACAGGGTCGGCCATTGTAGAAGGAGTCCTTATGACAAAATGGAGCGCTGGTGGAGTCCACAGAAAAAATTGTTTAATATATAGAATTTGGGAAAGAATCCTTATGGAAAAAAGAGCTCCGCTGGAATCTATGAGTCCTCCGACATCCTCCCGCATCATCCTAACTCCTCCCATCTGCGTCTCGAAGGCTCCCGCAGAACTGGTTGTCCGCGAATCAAGTGGACTGATTCAACCGACCATTGCGCGGTACACGCTGAGATGCGCACGTGCGCTGTAGCGCCGACCCGCATGACGGGGGGAAGGGTGAGCTATTTGGAACTCTTTGGCTAAGCGCGGACGTGTGTTGAACATTTGGTTAATCCCGGCCACGGCTTTTTAGCAAAGCCTGAAGCCGAGCAGGCACGCCTGCACGCCTTGGGTAAAGCTCTTTCTCTAAACGGACAACGTGCTCCCTCCCCTTCCTGGTCATGGGCTCACAACGCGACTCGAGGTGGCGGCCATCAAGAGTCGCGTACTTGCCACAGACAGTGCAGAAAGTCAAGAGAAACTTCCCAACAAACTGCGCATTGTGGGAGGGATGCCCGTGTTTGCCCGCCACAACAAGAGCCGACCCCCCTGCCACGATCGAGCGATCTGGGTGGACACCTGGGCATTCGCTCTGCGCGGACGCCAGGATTCTCGACGGTTGGGGCCGCGAGGTTACGAGAGGCGCACCTGCACCCGCTGCCAACCTGAGCAGAGTCATGCGAGGAGAGGGCGAGGGCTCGGGCTCGGGCGGGGGAGGGCGGGAGCCGCCTGGCCTTCGCCTCCCGCTCGCCCGACCACGGGCCCACTGCCGCCGCGAGCTCCATGGCCCGGCGTGCGCGCGCACGGACGAGGACTCCCATGGAGTCCCGCCGATCCGTCCCCACCTCCCCGACACGACACGACGGACCCCCCCTCGCCCGCAGCCTCCCCCGCTCCCTCATCCGCCTAGGCGTTGCCTTGAATTAGAAAGGGATCGGTGTCAGAGGCCTCGCGCTCGGTGCGATAAGGAACCCACTTGAGCAGCACGGTGTCGGCGGTGCGTGAACCCAGCGCTACCCGAATCCTGCTCCAGAGATCCTGGTTGGAACCCTGAACTGAAGAGCAGACGCGCGACCCGCAACGGAAACAAGGCCTTTGGAACAGTGCTCCAACGCCAGAGCAAACACCGTCAGCTCGGCCCTGGGGAAGGTTTGCCTACGACCTCCTTGTTTGGCCCGCACACCCGCAGCTGGACCCCCCCCCCCCCAGTGCTTCTCATTCGGCGCCACAGCAGCCGTGCCACACCTGGTGCGCCGCGGGTCGGAGCTGCGGGGGCCACCCGAGCCATCTCCGAGCCACACGATCGTGGAGTGCAGAGCGCGAGGCCCACTGCCCTGGAACGACACAGGACCATGCTCGATCACATCTGGGAAGCGGGTGTCCCAGGGGCGGCGGGGGGGCCCAGCTCACGGGGGCGATGCCGCGCAACCAAGAACGAGGGGTCTGCTCGTGCTGGGTGGCGGCCTGCCGCGCCAAACTGCCAGACCCATCGAGCTCAGGACAAACACTGTGGCTGCAGGTCCAAATCCGGTGGTAAAGAGTTCCTTCTTCTTGGCGGCAGAGGCCGCAGCTGGCCATCCTGACCCACGGCCACTGGCTCCTAGCCACCACGGCATTTAGAAAGCCTAGCTGTTCAAACCCATCATCGTTCTAACTCGAGGCACTCACGGCGAGCGACAAACATGTTCCCCCCCTCTCCGACTCCAGACCACTCCCCTCGAAGTGCCCTGAAGCCTGGTGCCAAAGTTTAACAGAGAGATTGTCGAGCAGCTCGTCAAGCAGCCCGGTGCAATCAGCATCGGAGCTTCAAAATTTGGGTCGCCTGCCTGCGGAAGCTTCCACGTGCACCCGCCGGGGGACGTGCGACGCGTCCAGGTGTGCGCACGGGTGGGGGTCCAACCTGCATCAAACAGAGCAGCGATCACGGCACGGACGGGCCCCTACCCTTTACCAAACCCATCTGGTTTTCGGAGCTTGCAACCTGGCGGAGAAGCGACCGCGCGCGAACAACCCGTGGGTGCAGGGATGGGGTCGATCGCCGCACCATCAGCCACTCGAAAACCAGCTGCCGTCGCAATTCTAACGCAGGCTCTTTGCGACCCATGTGCAGCGCCAAGGTAGGTCAAACATCGACTAGTGCCTCTACCAGCAATACTCTGGGCAGCCTGACGTCTGAGAGACCCAACAACTGACGGAGGGAACCCATTGCATTGGTGACCATACGAGGCCTGATGGAGAGCCCCAGTGGTCCACAACCCTTGCGTGATCCTACTCAAGCGAGCGCTGCGACGGAGCTTCCTGACACGAAAGAATTTGTTCGAAGCCTACAGCTGAGGAAACGAAAGAAGGATGTCCTTCCACTCTCGCAGCTGTGTCATTGTATGCGTGCAGACCTGGGCGCCCGCAATAGGACAAGCCAGGTGGCCTTCCCCAGGATGGGAAACAAAAGCATTTTGGCCACTGGGACCCCGACATGCGACCCCGCTATGAGGGAACGAGTGGGCCAAATCGGAGCGCTCGCCACTCTGGCGCCTCGGAGGAACCTCGGGACCAAACAAGTCGGAGTTTCCATCGCGATGGCTATAGACGGGAGTCCTACGTTAGCTGCGATGCGCAACAGCATCACACGGCTCAGAGGGTCATAGAACTTTTCTATATCCAGGAGCAACGTCGCGACTTGGGCTCCGAGAAGAATGGCGTTACTCCTCAGTAAAGCTGCTCTTAAGGAAGATCTCCCTCGGACCGCGGTGTCCCGATAGGAGTCCAGGGACCCGCTCCAGCTGAGCTTGCTCCAAAACTTGACTACGTTAGAAATCATCCCGATTGTGCGATCGCTTCCCTCGGGTTTTGGCAGTAATGCACTCGCCGTTGCGCATAATTGTTCCGGCCATGCACCTAGAGCCTCGATCTGATTCAATGAGCCGGTAAGCTCATAACTCGTATTCAAAATGAGATTCTCGCCTTAGCGCCACGCACAATCGTTTCAATAATTGCAAAACATGGATTGCGTACGGCTCCCTTTCAAAATGTGGTTCTCGACATAGCGCCGCGCACACTCGTTCTAAATGTTCGCAATCGTTCCAGTCATACTCATGGTTAACGTACCAGAAACGGTGTGTTAGACCGATTCATGATTGTCAGGGCGCAACAATTCGAAGTTCCAGGAGTGCTGTTATGGCACGATTCAAGATCGCCAAGACCTCACAAGCAGGTTAGTTCGTGGCGTTAAAGTCCTGAGAATGGTGTGTGGGCACGCTTCAGGATTTTTTCACGGTTGTCCCCCGACGGGGCCATTCCTTCCGTGGAAGCGAGCTCTTGTAGGGGCCTATGAAGAGGGAGCTTGGAGGGAGGGTGTATTCCAACATCGTTGATGAGTCTTAGGTTTAACTGGTCCCCCTCCTCCTCTTCCTCCTGGAATTCCTCATCTCACTCCTCCTTGTCCCTTCCTTCGAATCATCCTCATCCTTCTGGTGTTATTCCTCTTCCTCGATAATCCTTACCCCTTACCCCTTACCTCCCGATTGCACTCCGCGCGCGGCTTCTCGGAGCCCAGAGCTGCGAGGATGTCTCAAGCCAAACGCGCTGGACCACCTCGCGCGCGGCATCTTGGAGCCCCGAGTTGCGAGGATGCTTCAGGCACAAGAGAAGTGTAGTTAAATTGTCCGTTTGGGTCTGACCCCTCCCTCCTCCTTCCTCTGCCTCGGAGCCTAGAACTTCGAGAATGTCTCAGGCGAAACGGGCCAGACCACCTTGTGCACATGGTCTCAGAGCACAGAGTTGTGATGATGCCTCAGGCAAAGTGGGCTGGGCCATGTCTCGCGCGGCATCTCAGAGCTCAGACTGGTGAGGATGTCTCAGGCGAAACGCGCCAGACCTCCGCGCATGCGGCATCTCGGAGCTCAGATTTGCGATTATGTCTCAGGCGAAACGGGCTGGACCACCTCGCGTGCAGCATCTCGTAGCCCAGAATTGCGATGATGTCTCAGGCGAAACTGGCTCGACGACCTCGCGCGCGGCATCTCAGAGCTCAGAGTTGCGAGTCTGTCTCAGGCCAAGCGGGCCAGACCACTTCTCGCACATCACCTCGGAGCTCAGACTTGTGCGGATATCTCAGGCGAAACGGGCTGACCACCTCGCGCACGACATCTCGGAGTTCAGAGTTGTGTAGATGTCTCAGGCGAAACGGGCCGGACCACCTTGCGCGCTGCATCTCGGAACGCAGAGTTGCGAGGATGTCTTAGGCGACTACTTCTCGTATGGCACCTCGGAGACCAGACTTGTGTGGACGTCTCAGGCAAAACTCGTCAGACTACCTCTAGCGCTGCATCTTGAGCCCAAAGGTGCGAAGAAGTCTCAGGCAAAACGCGCCAGACCACCTCTCGCGGGCATCTCAGAGCTCACAGGTTCGAGGATGTCGCAGGGAAAACGCCCAATCCGAGCAAACTCGGATATGAGAGTTACGAGGACATCTCAGGCGAATCGGCCCGGGCCACCCCACTGTTTGAGTATGTCTCGTCAGGGGGTGGTGGCTCGGGAGGGACTAGCTTCGTCCACAATGTCACCCCAACATGTTCAGCTGTGCGGTGCAGCAAAACTGTGGCCGTCTTCGCCGACACCGGCGCGTGAGCTGCCCGCGTGAGGTCGCGCGTAAGCGCCCTCGCTTCCAGCGCAGCGCGTCGCGCTGGCGGCCCGGGGTAAACCACCGCGTCAGGTCGCTATGCCACCTTGCGTAACATCGTCGCTCAGCTGTTTAGGGAAAAATGGCACTCGAACGCCGCGCTGGTCCTCTGGGGGGGGAGAAGAAGGAGGAGGAGGAGGAGGAGGAGGAGGAGGAGGAGGAGGAGGAGGAGGCGGAGGAGGAGGAGGAGAGGAGGAGGAGGAGGAGGAGGAGGAGGAGGAGGAGGAGGCACGACATTTGCGGCGTGCAGCCAGTTTCGGGCCCGCCGCCGGACGCTTCCCCCGGCCCGCGGGCGCCTCCAGCGCCAGGGGGCGCAGGGACAAAGCCCAGCTGTGTGAGCCCCTCTGGCTAAGCGCAGGAGTGGCCCTTCGCCGGAGTGACCTTGGGTGCGGGCCAGCAGGCCCTCCGCACGCCTGGAGCGTCTCAGAGGCCCCCTCCCCGGCGCCGCGCACGCAGGGCCACTCCTGCCCAAGGGGCACTCGGACCGTGCAGGCGGCGAGCCGAGTTTTGCCAACCCCGCTGCTGCTGACCCCCGCTTGGTCCGCCCCGAGCCTGGGTTGGCGGCGCGCGCAAGGGGGTGGAGGGAGGGGGGAGGGCTCCTTAGAAGGAGGCTGCTTCTCAGCAGGCGCTGGCTTTACGTCTATACACAAGGCGCGCGCCTTCTGAGACCCAGGGGTGCTTCTAAGAAGCCCCCCCCCTCCCCCTACCCCCGTGTGCGCGCCCCGAGCCTGGGGATGTCGTGCTCTTGCCGGCCTCAGCCCACCTCTGCCGGCGATGCGCTCCACGCCGGGTGCCCCTGCAGGGCTGGGCCGCGGAGAGGTCCCGCGCGCGTGCGGTGCAGGGCGCGGGCGGGGCAGCGGCACCTGAGGAGGGGGGTCCAGCCGACCACCCCACGGAGGCGGGATCGAGGTCGCCATTCCTCCCCGTGTGGACGCCTCCTCCTCCTCCTCCTCCTCCTCCTCCTCCTCCTCCTCCTCCTCCCTCTCCTCCTCCCTCTCCTCCTCCTCCTCCTCCTCCTCCTCCTCCTCCTCCTCGTCTTCCCCGTGTGAAGCAGGCATGCCGACCAAGGCACCAGCCTGGCAGCAGGTGCCCCACGGACGTCTCTCCTTCCCCCACGCAGAGGCCAAGGCTGCGAGGGTCAAGAAGGAGGCAAGCCCGCGGCTCTCTGGGTGGTGACCGTCGTGTCTGACGGCCGTGGGCTGTCGTGCGCGGGGAGGCTACGGGATCGGCGGATCTAAGCAAGTGGCCTTCTGCCCATCCCGCCGTGCCTGGGTCGGGGACCAGAGGCCTTTGAGATGCCTCTGCTCCTGGGGGCATCTTGGGGGCGTCGTTGGGGGCCTCTTGAGGCCGTTTCCGAGTCTCCTTGCGGGTTTCGTCAGAGCGTCGTGGGGCCCTCCCAGGCCACCCTGGGCTCCTCTAGGCCCGCATCGGTATGCCATGGCATGTCTTTTTCCTCCGAAGGACGTTTTGCTTGCTCGCCGCACTGCATCCAGGTCTACGGCGGCAGTTCCAGTGTCGGGAAACGGGGCGCCTGGAACAGGCACGGGCCGCCTGCGCGCGAGCCGAACCCAGCATGACGCACGAGACGCGAACGAGCTGACGAGCCGAGCCCAACGACCCTGCAGAGGCCCCTTTCCCGGGTGCGCAGCGCCCTAATCGGGTATGGCCAGGATCCCGGGTAAGGGGACCCGGTCAGTGGTAGGGCCCTGGAGCCTTTGAATTGGCCAGGATCACTGAACCAGGTTTGCCATAGCTGGGGTTCTTTCGGGTGACGGCAGTTCCGGCCAGTGGAAATGGGACGGGGGGGCGCCCCCGGTACAGATCACTAAACCAGGTTCCCCTAAACCCAGTTCTGCCAACGCCCGACCTGAGAGAACGGACGCCTCCTCAGACCCTCCCCCCCCCAGGAGTGGGCGCGCGGAGAGCTCGGGGAGGAGCGCCTGGACATCATCCCCGCCGTCAGGGCGGCCGTCGAGGCGGCGACGGGCACCGGCAAGGACCGCGGCACCCCGGCCGCGTCCTCCTCCTCCTCCTCCTCCTTCTCCCTCCTCCTCCCTCCTCCTCCCTCCTCCTCCTCCTCCTCCTCCCTCCTCTCTCCTCCTCCTCCTCCCTCCTCCTCTCCTCCCTCCCTCCCTCCCCTCCCCCCTCCCTCCCTCCCTCCCTCCCCTCCTCCCTCCCTCCCTCCCTCCCTCCCTCCCTCCCTCCCTCCTCCTCCTCCTCCTCCTTCCTCCTCCTCCTCCTCCTCCTCCTCCTCCGCCCTCCTCCTCCTCCTCCGCCTCCTCCTCCCTCTCCTCCTGTTGCCTGTCCCCCCCCCCCCAAGGGAGTGGTCTCGGCCCACCGACGGCTCAGACCAACCTCCTCCACGCCGTCTGGACTGAGAGGCATTGGTCTCCCGCCGGCGGGGAACCCGTCGGCCCACCGAGGTACTACGGGGACCCCAAGCAGGCCAGTTCAGAGCATGTCTTGCATCCTTATGCACTCTGCTGGGAGATCCGAAGGCTTTCCGCGTGGAGGCCACTCCCGTGCGCCGTAATGCTTAATCCTCCTGCTTCTCCTCCTCCTCCTCCTGCCCATCCGTAGCCTTCGTGGCTCAAGTTGAAACTATTACCCTGTGGCTTCAGCTTTGTCCGCAGCCAAGGGGCTGGCTCGAGAGCCAGCCGAAGAATTGCGTTTGCATCCTCACGATCCCTGCTCGATCGAATGCGCCCGTACCCCGCATGTTGCCGCGTTACTTTGTCTGCGGCATGGCGGCTGGCGACCAGAACCTGGCTCAGATCCTCGCGGGCATTCAGCCTTTATGTGGACGATGCGTCACAGTCATCAAGGATGTCACCACTGAGCACGAGAGGAAGCTCGACGAGATCAGCGGCCGAATCGAGACCTCCCAGCAGGAAACCAACCGCGTCCTCACCAACCTTCACGAGCTTGAGATTCTCAGGAGGCTGCAGACTCAGGCCGACGCTGCCAACCAATACATTGCGGAACTCTCGTCAATAGCAAGTTCATTTGTGGCGTCTGTGTCCAGCGGCCTCAGCAACAAGCGTGCCAGGACGAATGACACCAAACACATCTTCGGCGGGAGCGACAACAGGAATGAGCGTAAATCTAACCCTTGTCGTGAGTGGGTTGTTGGTTTCCCTGGGCCGGAACTCGCGCGTGTGATGACCGAGTTCGCGGAGTTGATGCCCAGTCATGAAGGCTCACAACGTGAATTCAGTTTGGACTACGCGGGCGCCCGCGACGCTCGCGACTCCGTCGATTAGGTTGAAACCACATGTATGAATTGGGAGGAGCCGGAAACGCACGTGCAGGTACCAATGAGAGCTCGGATGGACGCGCCAGTCAATGTCTGGCGCCATCGTAAGATCCTATATTGTGGTCCAAGACCCACACATGGGAGATGCTGGCCTCTGGAGGGAGGGCCACCATGAAGCTGGACAGCTAGGGCTTCAAAGGCGTGCTCTGTCTGACCGAGAATGATGAGTGCAAGGGTTCTGCTCGATCACCGAGCTCGAGCGGGGCTAGTACAAGGTGAACCCCGACTACGAAGTCTTGGAGGAGTTCGGGATATCACGTGGGGGCGCCGATGATCTGAAGGCAAGCGTCATGCCTCGCTATGGGCCTACCTTGCTGTTTCAGACTTCGGATGCTGTGCGGCACGGCGAGCGTGATGGGATAATGTCCACCTCTACGGACTTCGACTCGCCGTTGTCTCTGGGATATGGCATGCAGAGCGGACGTAAAAGGTATCTCGACGAGCATGTCGCAATCTTCGTATACTTCCTGTGTCTCCACCCTTTCCCTCACTTCGCGCAGTATGAAGAAGCGCGTGATCGATGCTGCTTCGGATTCGAGTTCTATTTCGCCAGGGGTTTCCCAGCCCGCGTTCTGTGCGGGCTCCTCTTCCAGCTTTTCCTATTCGCGCTCCTGTTCTCGCTGATCTTCTGGGTCTTTCTCTTCTTCGTCGGCGTCAGCGAGTTCAAGAGACGACAAGCCTAATGTGGACAGGTTTGGGCCTCTTCTGCCCAAGCAAGCTCTGTCTTTCATTGCCTGGGACGCTCGTTCCATCATTCGTGCTACGTGTTCGGCCCAGGCCTTGCGCATACAGAAATATGGTAAGCTCGTAGCATGGTGTTCCAGCCATGGCATCGTGCTTATCCAAGAGGCCAGGGGGGTCGCAGATGCACCTTGGGCATTTTGCCAAATCAATGTATCAAGCCGTAGCCTTTGGAGTGGGCGCTTTCACAGATGGTGCTACCTCAGGGGCTGCGTCATTTTCAGCCACCCTCGGCTTCAGAGGCTTCAAAGGCTTGAAGGGCGCCAATTCAGCACATTTATGAATGCACAAAACAGCCCGCAATGCGTGGCGATCATCAGTTTTGATTTTGAGCCGCCGCATCGTCCCGTCATCGAGCATGGCCTTCCTCTGTCGGGTCAGGAGAGTGTTGTCCGCGCCAAGAAGATCACCGCTCCCTTTTTACTCGGCGATTTCAGAATCAATGCTCGCGGTGAAGGGTCTCACCACTTTGACGGCCGTCGTGTTTCCAGTGGGCTTCTACTGCCATAGAGTTCGACAGGCTATTTCCACTGATGGTCAAAGTCGAACAGGCTTCTTTCATGCATCCTGCAGAAGTCTGCAGTGACTTGAACCGCTATTTTGTCGAACCGTTTTCGCGGCTCCACCGCATTTGCGCGCGTCCCTGCCGGAGATCCACGCGGCATCAGCCCAGCCTCCAGGACCATCAGTGCCCCCGCGGACCTCGAGGAACTTTCCTTGGACCGCGTGCCAGTTGCTTTTTCAATTCGACCATGTGTAGGGGGCTTCGGAAGGGCCCCCATCTGGGCGTCGATCGCCCGAAGTTCCAGACGAAGGCCGAGGGTGCCATCGCTGGCGCTTGCGTTATTACTGATAACCGCGTGGAAACTGTCGAAGAGGTGAGGGCCTAGTGTCCTGGCTGCTGCGAGGGCTCTCAAGTGGGAATTCGAATTCTGGGGCGACTTCGGAGGCGGAAGGATATATTGGGCAATGCCAGCCCCTCGTGCCGTGAGGGGGCGCAGCGAGTGGATGCTAGCCAGGGCTCTTCAAGCCTTCCCCGAGCTGGCCGACCTCTTTTGCATATCTAGATGTAGGCTTATCCTTGGCGGCCGACTTCGCGCGTTCCCATCGGGGCTCTAGAACGACGTTCTAGACGAGGAGATGGGGGTGTAGGGCAGGGCGAATAGATGTTTGATATCAAAACGCGCAAAAATATCCACTCGCTGCGCGGGTGGGAGGGCGCCCGGGGGGCGAATATTCGCAAGCGTGGGCCGGGCGCTGTTTCGAAGCCGTCAGGCGCGGCGCTCGGTGTTGCCGACGAGACGTGCCGAGAGATTGCCAGGTTCTGGGGGAGGTGCGCGCGCTGCCCTGGTGCCCCGTGAAGCCGCCGTGTGTTTCGATCCCCGCGTTCAGGAAATTTCTTCGGACGCTCTTTGGGCCTTGAATCGCGATGTCTTCGTGGGCGTGATGGGGCGCGTTCCTGGCGGTGCTCCCGGCCCAGGCGGCGCTCCTTGTTCTGGCCGGTCTCGCGCTGGCCCGCTCGCCGAAGGCGCGCCCCGCTCGCTCCACCTCCGCGTGCTTCGCGTGGCCTTCCTCCCCCGAGAACTGCAGTGGCGCCGCGGCTGTTTCTCTGGCGAAAGGCGAGGGCCCTGCCGACGCGAAGTTTGCTGCGGGAGCCCTGGGGGCGACGGCCCCTATATCTCTTCCACGTGCGAGCCGCGAAACCATGGCTGCCGCGCAGTGCCCGCCGCCGGGAACCAATTTTAACTGGTTGTCTATTCTCGGCCGCGAGGATTTGCTCGCACCTGGAATCCAAATGTCCCGGGTAGGTCCAGCAAGGATCCCAGGTGGTTTGCTATGCGTATATATACATTGAAGTGGAAGCCGCCTTCCCAGCTTGGCCCGCGAGGCCCTCGTGTCTATCCTTGCGCCCTGGATAAAACGAAGTTCCCCCGTGGGTTTCTGAGGGGCACCGACGCCATGTGCAGACAGGCATGCGTCCTGGCGTCGTTCCGGGGCAATCGCGAGTTCGGATGTGTCTTGAGCCGAGGCATCATGCAAGGATGCCCTATGTCGGGCCGTTTTTCGGCATTGGCGCACGACCCGACCGTTCGCGCGTTGGCCAGCAAGTTGCCGCGGTCGTTTCGCGAGATTGGCAGCTTCGCCGACGATTGTGGTCTCGCCAGCAGCGACGCGAGCTCGGCGTGGTTTATTTCCTTCGACATTTGAGTCCTCGCTGGGGCTTCCCGTGGGGCGCGTACTCATGCCAGGAAAACGACCGCGGTCCTCTTGGGGTAGTGTTCGGAGGAGGACGTATGGAGGAGATGTTTCGGCCATCTCGTGAGGTTTGTTCGTGGGCTCCAGGCTTCGTATTGCGCGGCGTATCTAGGAGTTCCGCTCGGCAGAGATGGGCAGGGGGGGAATTGGGGGCTTCCTCTGCGCGCGTTGGCCTCGCGTGCTGATTTGGCGCGAGGACTTGACCTCGGGCTGGCCAACTCCATTTTTCATTGCAATTTGCTGTGCGTTTCGATTCTTAGTTTCGTCCGTCAAGTGTGCGCCCGTCCCTGTTCGCTATGGAGGAGGAGAGGATGATTGCCCAAGTGATTTGCAGGGGCCTACTCAACGCCGCCCCGTCAGGGCACCTCCAGGATTTTAAATCCCCAGGTTCCCCGGACCAGGCTGCCAGAGTCAGGGCCCGTGCAGCCTGTTCGATTTCGAATTGCAGGGAGGACCTCGGCGCTCGCAGAGGCGGAGAAGCTCTTGTTTCAATTCAGTGGCTCGGACGGCTGCTGCGCCCTCTAGCAGAGCCACCTTGCGTGGCAAGGGGCATTGTGAAAGCTTGTGCGACAACTACTGCTCGCTCCGCGCCACCCTCCTTCAGGTTCCCGGATATCTCCCTCTGTTCCAGGCCCTCAGGGAGAAATATATGACCAAAGTGTTGGAGAAATCCCCGTGGGTGAC